TTAATGCTAACTGCATTCCCTCTGCCATGCTCCCCATCCCCGTGACCAACTATCAACTACTAATTTGTACTTCTTTAACCTTTCACCCTATTCTCCCAGCCTCCCAACCCCCTCCCCTCTATCTCCAAATTATCGACTATATTTGTGAGTCTGTTTTTAATTAGTTTGTTCCTAGAGGTTATTATGCTGCGTGAAGTAAGTCAGAGAAAGATAGATACCATGATTTTACTTATATGTGGTATCTAAGGAACAAAAAGAACAAACTAATCAAAAACAGATTCACAAATATAGTGGACAATGTGGTGACACACAGAGGGGAGGGAGTTTGGGAGGCTGTGAGAATGGGGGGAAGGATTAAAGTAATACAAATCAGTGGTTGATAGTGAGCACGGGGAGCATGGAAGAGGGAATGTAGTTAGCATTAATATGATGGCTAAGTGGAGGGCCAGGGGAGGGAAGGAGCAATTGGGGGTATCATTTTATGAACATTATAGATGTCTAACTAATGTACTGCATACTTGAAACTAATTTAAATAAATAAATTTATTTTTTAAAAAAATCCACTTATCCTGTGAGCCAAACAATTCCTCGAATAAATTAATTTTACAAATGGGGTTAGTGATGGTGGACAGATTAGAGTTGGAGATGAGCCCAAAGAAAAGCCAGTGGACAAGCTCATTGAAACCACAGTCTTTCCTCAAAGGATGCCATGTAAACAACTGCTTTCTCTAATCACTGATATTAATGGCCCTTTCTGCAAGAATAAGATGCTCAGCTAATGTAAGCTAACTTGCTCATTATTTCTCCAACTGGACACAGAAAAAAATACTTGTTCGTCATTATTCCTGCTTTTTTATTCAACATGGACTCAAAAGTACCCTTGATGAAGTGCTTCTCAAATCATACCCACAAGAAAAAACAAAAAGATGAACTTTGGTTTGGGGATAGTGGGGGAAGAGGATATTTCTAAATATCATTTGTTAACTGTTTAAAAGCAATATAATAGGCCCAAAATGGAGCTGTATATGCTAAGTCCCACATCACCAAACCGAGACTTAATTACAGTTTGGCTCTTACAGTAGTAGAATCTTAAACCAGAAAATCAGGAATTAACTGATCAGCATTAGTTAGGTAATCTGCCTGATATATCCTTTCTATCTCATAAAGGATAGTATTCTGTAATAACCAAATCACATTTTTGTCTTGTATAACTTCCTTGTTTCCATTCCCTTCTGCCTATAAAAGTCTTTCATGTGTACAGCTGATCAGAGCTCTTTTCTATCTGCTAAATTGAGTACTGCCCGATTCGAGTAGATTTTTGCTCAAATATACTTTTAAAAAATTTAAAAAAAAAATCAAAACTGGTCTATACTCTTCAAAATTGGAAGGTCATCAAAGTCAAAAAAAGACTATGGAACTGTTCCAGATTCAAACAAACTCAAGAGACAGGACAACTAAGTGCAACACATTTGATCCTTTTACTACAGAGGACATTTTTAGGACAAATATTCATGAAGTCTGTGGATTAGTTAGTCATATTGTTTCCTAATTTTGATGGTTGTCCTATGGTTCTGTAGGAGAGTAACGTTGTTTGCAGGAAATATGCACTAAAGTATTCAAGGATAATGGGGCATCATGACTGTAACTTATTCTCAAATTGTTCAGGAAAAAGATTAGAGAGAGAGAGAGAGAGAGAGAGAGAGGTAGAGATAGAGAAATAATAATAATAAAGCAAATACGAAATGTCGACAATTGTGGAATCTGGGTGAAAAGTATGCAGGAGTTCTTTGTACTACTGAAACTTTTCTGTAAGTCTGATTTTATTTTTTTAAATGAAAAACAAATGCTCTTAGAATGGGAATTCTCTTTGTTTAACCTAGCATTCTTAAGGACCATTTTTTTGTGTCTGACTAAAAGAGAAACAAAAAGCTAAACTGCTTTGCACAAGATACGAATAGGAATGCTGGGAGTTGGGATGGTTGAGGCAGGCAGGTAAGACAAAGAGAAGGAACAGGAAAAGCCCTGCAATATAGTATAAGGCTGAGACCTCAGAGAAGAGTAGATACTTCCAAGAAATAGAAATGGTTGAGAGATTTTTAAGAAGAGGGATGTCAGTTTTAACTTGTCTGGAATATTGGGGTATGATGTAATCATGCCCTGGCTCCAAACCTCTGCAAAGTCAGACACACATGTACTTTGGGAAATGGCTGTCCAAGGAGGACATGGTGCTCACAGAAGATGAAACACACAGAGGAGGGCAAGAATTTAGAGGAAGCAAGAACATGGATCCATAGGTGAAATAGAAAAACAAACGCTCCAAGACTCTCCTGAAACACTGGGGAGAATGGTGGGTGCCCCAACACTTAGGGGATAAGATGAGAGTCAATTTATCTCAAATCTTAACTAAAAGATGACCCCCCAACAAGTTGGAAAATATGTAGACATCCAAGAGGCTAATATAGAGGTAACAGCAAGTATTTTAAAATATTAGAAATATGACAGAGAAATAAATTATTGACTAAAATACTAAGATTAGTATTTTCTTGGGTGCTTGGGGAAATGTACAACAATTTGCAAACATATCATGGGAGAATATGTTCAGATTCTTTCTTTCAAGATATAACAAAAAATAAATAAAAATTATACAGCAAAACCCAAAAATTATCCTATACTTACCAACTGAACATCAGGATCAGCATGTTTCTGTATAGTGCTAAGAAATGCAGCTGGATTTTCTTGTACTTTTATGCTACATAAAAAGATTTAATTGTGAAGATATATAATAACCTTCTTAGTCACACATAATTATATGGAGTAAAAAATAACACAAATGGATTTTTATACCACATTAACTATTGGTGCGGGGCGGGGGGGATCATTAGAAAAAAGTGACAACCTTTTGAGCCTAAAATTGTTTCTCCCACTACGAGATATGCCAGAAATGTTTAATAATCATTTTTATTAACTTAATAATAGTTTTATAGAAAATGAATTTTCTCAATTGTATAGAATCTCTACAATTAATAATTATTGTTGAAAATGGTGTTGAACATTTGAAATCACAGGTCTCAATAATCAAGTGTCTGAAACGGGGTTCAAGTTAGACTGGAATTAAGATTCTCTAATACTGAATGTCCAGAGAACTTTAAAATTAATGTTTCAAAAGTCATCAGAGTAATGACACCAAGATATTCAGCTAATCTGGATGATTCAGACTAAGATGTTTTTTTCCTCAAGTAGCAGCTTGTTTGGAGCCTGGAATATTAGCTTTAATCAATAAGTCAGCAAGTACTTATCAATGATCTGTTCTGTGCTTATGTTATGTTAGGGACCAGAGGCTACAAAAATAATTCCCACACACAAGAATTTATAAATCCACTTCTTTATGAAGAATCAGCCTCTCCTATGTGTACATGATTGCAGTCTCAATGCCCAGTGGCCTTTTAAAACTTGCCCAGCAAGGGGCAGGACTGTCTTATGCTTGCTGATTCCAACTGAGATGTAGAAATGGCTTGCAGCTCTGTTGAAACAACTAAATGCTTCTGATTTTTCCAATTCGATCTCTTACACACAGACTCAATTGCTATTTTACTGTTCATTTCTTCTAAACTCATCAGACAAATGTTTCAGATGGGAGAAACTATGCATATAAATCTAACAGGTAAATGCATACACAGGAAAGAAAGGCTGGAATAAAATATGAGCTTTCAAATAAAATGGGCCAGAAACAGAACATGGACATGAGCTTGTTCATGAAATTGGTGTGAGAAGGATGCCAGCTAGGGTCTGCTGACTTTGGCTTCTTTTGTTAATCTTTTACTGCTTTCTTAGCTTAAAGGTTAAGAGAAATTAGAGCAGGTGAAACTTAAACCAGGCAATTTGTTAACACATTTGGTAAGAAGAGAATTCTAAACTACAGTGTAAAATGAGACTTTGGGAATATCAGTGGTTTTCTACAATGCTTGCACTGCTGATATAATTAATTACTAACCATGTTTTTCAAAAATAACTTCCCACCCTGCCAATGAGGACATTTGTACCCGCACCAAAACAAAGATAAAAAAGTATCTATTGCTCTTTACTAAGTATATCAAGCTCAATAAAAAGAGGCATGATCAACTTTATGAAACAGTATTTAGTTTTGAGTGTGACTGTAATATGGCTCTTCTCCTACTAAACTGCAAGCGACTTATCTTTCTCATCCCCAGTAACAGGCACAGTTTCTAACATATCACAGATATTCAGTAAATGTTCAAAAATGAAATGAATGACCTTGGTTTTATCAGAAAACTATCTCAATGACTAATCTTATGCTGTAGTAACAGAATCAGAAATGTTTATTTCAGATCAATTTTTACATTAAATTTTAAAGCATCAAATTTATCAAGTAAGTCAGGAAATGCAACTTTTATTTTTTAATAATATCCTTTTTGATGTTGCTTAATAAATAACTGATATAAAAAATTTTTAAGTTAAGGAAGCAACATATGGATTAATTAAGGATTTATACCTTAACTAGTACTGTAAAGACTTTGAGGTAATGAGACTCTTGCCTAAAGAACTGTGAAAACAAAGTTTTACAAAAAACAACATAAAATGTATTTTAACTATATGAAATGATTACAAATCTATCTACTTATAAGTATTTCCTTGGCACTTTATATCATGAAAATTTGCTGACATAAAGACTTTTGTAGCTACATCAGCGCTTATTTCCTATTTTCTAACCAAACCAAAGAAATACATATTTAAAAAGTTGGGATGATTTTCAGTATATCCTCACATTTTGGGGTAGTCCACATTAAATCCCATGGAACTTCCAACTCTTCTCAAGCAACTCAGAAAGTTCTCAGTCACATTTTCAGCTCTGTTACTACATATAATCAACCATTTACTCAGAGATGGTGCACTTAAAATCTTGCAAGTTCGCATATCCTTGGACCAATCAGCAGCAGACACTGGTTGACACTGAGAAGATATGATGATCATGAAAACATTTATTCAAAAAGCAATTAAATAAAGACAGTGCGAAGATGGTCCACATTAGTCAGAAGAAAACTATTTAGTATAGTTTGCTATTCACAGACTCAAAATACTGATACAAGCATTGACCATCTGAACAAAACACATGTGCTTCCTGGGAGTGCAGGCATCTGAGCATCAATCCATGCTGGCCACTCCCTGGCTACAGATCCTTGAACAAGTCCCTTTACTTCATGGGCCCCTACTGTGTGCAAAGAAAGATATTTGGTTCAAAGGTCTCTAGTTTCCCTTCTAGTTCTAAGAATTTCTTGCCTTTTTTATCAATGGCATAAACAAGTGGGCTATCCAATTTGGTCTCTTTGCTCTAGACATCTAGATATCTCAAATAGGAAATGCTGATTACTGATATTCCAGGTCATCATACTAAAACTAACAAAACCCACAGGGCAGTTAAGGATATACATTATGCTACATCTTGGAGAGGAAGGATGAGGCCAAGATACAAGCTCCTTTCTCACTCTTGGAAGGTTCCCCAGGTGACCAGGAAAAACAAGTTCCCTGCACCGAAGAAGGCAGACTTTAGACTGGACACTAGCCTTCTGCTTATATCTATGGGCTGGAATTAAATGGAAACATCCTTGGTGTGGTGAGCTGCACTATTAGAATTTAAAAGGACCACATTGTAATCAAATCCTTTGCTACTCAAAGGGTTGTCTTGTAGCAGCATGACTATCTCCTAAGAGCTTGTTAGAAATGCAGAGTCCTGGGCCCCACCTCAGACTCACTGAATCAGAATCTGCATTTTAACAAGTTCCCAAGTGATTCATCTACACACTGTAATCTCCCAGTTTTACAAACTCCAAAGCTGTGGCTGAGAGAGGTCATGGAACCAATTGGCCGTGACAGGTGTAGAATTCTAGTCTTTGTTGACATTGCAATCAGGCCCTTTCTATCAAGCACTGTGACTTTCATCGACCAGCCATTGTCAGGATATCTTGCCATTAGGTGGCCAGGTGGGAACTCAGCTCCAGCAGGAGACCTTAGCCTGAGAATGTAGAGAAAGGGTTAGCTCTCCATGAATGGTTCTAAACCAAGCCCCAAGGTTAATTTCTTCCATTACAGCCAGTATGAGAGCCACAGCCCTCTCGCCTACACTCCAACCTGTTATGGGCTGTCATGAGACCAAGGACAAATGTCCAAGGCCTGTTCTGAGGCCTGTGAACCTTTGGTTTGCTCAGTTACTAGAACCCAATTTCAGAAAGCAGAATTGGCCAAGAAATCGATGATCTAGCCATGTCTACTTGATGACAGTCCACCACCACTTCTAGGGGCCAGGTTCTTCCATTGCAGTGCCCCCTTCTCCTACAGAGACCTGTTCCCATTCTAACCCCCCCACCCCCCCCACACACAAAAGCTCTGACGAATATGACTTTACTTATAAAGATGATGATGACACAGATCATTGTGAATATTTAAATCCTGCTTTACATGTGAAACCGAAACTGAGCTTCTCTTTACTGACTCCTGACCAAAATCCTAATCGGGGCCCACATTTTAGTACTTCGCAAATTTTTTTGTTTTGTTTTGTTTTTAAAAGTAGTTTTTCCTCAGCTTCTCCAATAAGGCTTTTGGTAATTTGGAATGGATTGTCAATAACAAATGATGAAAAAATCCATATCCTGCCAACAGAAAACATTCTTTGTTCAGTTACATTAGTTTAGACATGTTGGTTTATTGTACCAAATAAAGGCAAGAAGAGAGCTTTTAAAATGAAATGAAATATAACTGGATTTTTAAATGGGCAAAATAGACCTAGGGAAAAGTAGAAAAGTAATAAACAATGTTTGCGTTAAATAGATTCATTTCTTCAACTGAAGCCCAAAAGAGGCAATGATTGGTCTCTCCAATTTTCAGAGTGTCTTTCTCCCTAAATGCTATGACTGAGGATGGGTTCTGTGTGAATTCCTTAATGTTAATGCCAATTGAGCAGCATTTTACTTTAGGAAAAAAAAAACAAATATGGTATCAGGAAATATAATCTGTTGAAATTAACTTCCACCAGTCAATAGAATTTCCCCAGGTACTATGGATTTCTTTCTTTTTTCTTTTTTGAAGTAATGTAAGAGTACTACAACACCAAATAATACACGGGCATGTTTAGATTGCAATGGCTTGAAATGCTATTTTCTAATGCACAGGTCACACTGACTGACCTAAAATCATGTCCTCTCGGTGCCACTAAGCCCATAGAAGTATGCTGAGATTGAAAAGGAAAACAGGAGGGACCTCAAGATTTAGGACAGAGGGACTGCAGAAAAATAGCCATGGAGGAACTAAATGAATACTACAAGCCCCCTTATTCACTCCGGCATATGATTGAAATTGCACGTATTCAAGCAAATACCGTTGAATAAAAATAAAATCACAGCACTTACTATGTGGTCTTGCATTAGTATTTTTTCTGAAGGTACGACCCGGCCAGTCAAAGACATCTGGCATCCAAAATGCAGTCCCCAGGTTTCCAGCTCAAAACGAGCATCCTTGTTTCTGTTGAGAGTAGAGTTTTAGTCATTAAAGTATTTATTTTCTTAAAAAATTTTAATCATTAGAGACAGAACTATAACTTACCGAATTATTTAGAGACTGATTTTCTTTTGAGGATTCCCAACTTATATTCACTATTTTTTTTTTTTTATCCTGCCCAAAAGAATTATGGGTTGGCCGTGCCCATCTGCGATTTACAGGGATGGAAAAGCTTCCAGCATGGCACATTAGTTAGCAAAATGGGCCTTTGAGCCACACAGACCAGGGTTTAACTCCTTGAGCAAACTCTTAAATCTTTTTAAGCTGTGGTTTCTTCATTGGCAAAATGTAGGGATAAGAAAACTAGCTACTTCATAGATTTGATGTAAAGACTGAATATGGCAATACATGGAAAGTACTACCAAGGCATCTGGCACATTATTCCTGATAATAAACTTGTAAACAAAGAGATATTGTGAAGCCTCTGGATGTGGAGATGTCTTCTGGGAATATCTGAATTTGCTGCTTTGGAGTGGATGAAGGATGGTAAAGAAAGGGAACATAAGGACCTTATGCTTTAGAAGATTCACAGGATAGACAAGACAGTGGAAAAAGACTAAGAGGAGAATATTAGTATGAGCGATAATAAGGACTTTATATTTGCATAGTACTTTAAGTTTATAACTTAGTAAACCTTAACCATAGTTTATGTATTATCTCTTTGGTTTACGATATATGATTATCGCTGTCAAGCTGTAAGCTCCTCGAAGAGAACAACCATATTGACTTTGTATCCTGGCTTCTATTTCAGTAGCCAGTACATGGTAAGCCAGGGACTCAAAAAAGACACTGATAAAATTCATGCTTTTATTTACCTATGAAAGCTTCCCCTCTCTCCCTGAGGGAGCTCAAACCTCTTTACCATTGATTCTCCGCAATGAGTCAGTATTTCCATGTATTCATGTTATGCCTGATCTGGTCATGTCAAATACTTGGAATTAATTATTTTCCTTCAGATACTATCTGCCCAAGATGAGATAGATGAGATAACCACTGGTCAGGACACTGGGCTGAAATAAACGGTACTACTGGAAGGTGATAAGTAGATGCGTCAGGAAGACTAATCCACAGCATGGTATAAGAGGAGAGAACCAGGAAAGGTAAGAATAAGCTATTCTTGAGTAGATATAACTCTGAGAGATGTCCAGGACATAAAGTGTGGCCATAAAATAGAAAACTATGAAACCACTAGCATAAAAATAGAAATGTACATTTATCATATGGAAACATTCAAGAAAAAGCAAGTTACAAAACATGATGTACATACTTTGCCATTTTCCTAAAGAGAACAGGATTATATGCGTTTGAAAACATCTGAAAGAATATACATCATTCATTCATTTATTAAACAAATCTTTACAGAGGATACACACACCTTTTTTTGTAAATTTTCAAATTCCTCCTCCACATTTTTCATCTTTAAAGAAAAAAAGACCATTCTACAACAAGGCTGCCCAGTAGACATATAAAGCAAGCCATATATATAATTTTAAGTTTTCTAGTAGCTTCATTAAAAAAGTAAAAATTAACAAGTAAAATTATTTTTTCGATATATATTATTAACTCAACATATCCGAAATGTGATCCCTCCAAGGTGTGGCACTAACCACATTTTCAAGGCTCAATAGTTACATAAGGCTACAGTACTACACAGTGGAGTTTTGGGAGATCAGAAGGGAGAATCAGGGAGAGCTCGACTTTCCCATCACAGGTTAGAGCAAACTGTCACCTGAGAATCAGGTGGGCTGAACCGAAGGGCACAAAGGTACTCCTCAGTTTTAAAAAAACATAGTGGGGTTTCCTAATAACCAGTGTGCTGAGGCTACTCTATTCAGATTTGAACATTTCTGACCCTGAATATTGGGTGCCTGGAGCAATTGTTTTTTTGTTTTCTAAACTATAACCCTTTTCTTCATTCAGAATTTTATCCAGAGCCTCGATGTATTAAATGGATGAAAGCAGAGCTGTCTAGCTGAAGCAAGGTGGTACCTCTGCCAGCCTGGCTCTAACCCACCTCCCCTTGACCTGAGGCCTCTTGGATGAACCTCTGGCTCTGGACAACACAATTCAAAAGTGCCTTGCTCTGAATCAATAGGAATGAGACATTTTCATCAAGGAATGGAGGGTTTTATACATCATCCAATTGTATAAACTAGGCCCTGAAGCAGGGTGCACTCTGGTCCCAGAGAGGTGTCCCAGTACCTCTGGATGTCATCAGCAAGCCTGGCCAGGCGCTGCTGCCTTCCCAAAGGACTGAGACGCGTTTCTTCAGCTACAGCCTTCATCAGTTGGAAATCAGAGGTTACCTGGCTAGTTAGCCCTCGTAAATGGGAATGAAAACAAAGTGAAAAAATGAACGGTATACAATGTAACCCCAGCCCATCTAAAGGACAGTGTAAGCTTTTTTTTCACTTAAACTGAATCAGATTTAGCATCTGGATAGCACTGTCCGATAGAAATGCAAGCCACATACGTCATTTTAAATTTTCAAGTCACCACGTTATAAAAAAAGAAACAAATAAAACTATTTAAATAGCATATTAATAATTTAACTCAATATATTCCAAAATATTATCATTTCAAATGTAATCAATATAAAAATTTATTGAGCTACTTTCCCTTTTTTTCATATTAAGTCTTAGAAATCTAGTCTGTATTTTACACTTACAGCACATCTCCATTCAGTCCCTCAGTCACACTAGTCACATTTCAAGTGCCCCCAAAATACATGTGGCTACAGGCTACTATATGGAACTGTGCAGGTGTAGAATATCAGAACTCCACTAAGGATCAGCATCCTTCCTTTTAAGGATTATATCCTTATTAGTGTTTCTAATAGCAAAATAAACATACACACCGTAACTGATTCAAGCAATTCAAAAATGTAAAAAGTAGAAAATCTGCCTTTCTTGGTCCCACCCTGTTAATCAAATGAGCATGAGTAAAACTACTCGAGACAGTTACTCAGATTCTACTAAATAGCGAAGATTAACTTCTGGAAGCTCATGCACAAAGAAAATAAGGATCATTTTGGCACAAACAGTACACCCCCCAAAAATCAAAATCGCATCGCTTCCTAAACTAGTGAAGTTCAAAAAATGGTAAAGAGCAGCTTTGTTTTAGAAAACTATCTGGGGCTTATTTTACATTGAAGTAACAAATGGAATACATGAGAGAAAGGAAATTTATAACTTACTGTGCCAAGCACTTTCCAAATAGCACGTTATTCTCCCACTTTCTCTATTATCAAATGAATTATTTAAGGGACCGTCCTCAATCAATCAATGGGTTGAATTAATGCTCTGGCATTAGGCTAACTGAAGGAGGTTCTGCCCACTGCTAGAGATCAGGAGCCTATGATCAAGAACTGATAGAATATAAGACATAAACATTACCTGTTAGAAAGCAGAGTTCGGGTATCAGGTGGGCCATCCGAGCCCCAGGGTTGTCATTTCTCTTGCTTTTCAACAGACTAACAAGCATCGGCTGATTTAGGTCAGATAGGGTAATATCATATTGCTACAGAATGCAAGATTAATGAGAGAAAAGTTAATATGGAAACACTGTAAAATGAGCCTCCTCACTTATAAACAAGGTAATCCCAAAATGAACAGATAAGCAAATTTTTTCAATGAAGAAAAAAAATCCCATGGTTTCCTACTCATTTCTACTTCTTCCCAGGCTCTACCTTTTATATCTGAGGGCCAGTTTTATGATTTTAATTATCTATTATAGCTCAATGTCATTTTGCTTTGTTTTTAATCATTTCTCTGTTTTCTTCTGGGTTTCATCTGGAGTCGGAACCACCTCCAGTTGGCTCCACACACAGCGCAATGACCCCACGGAGCTGACCCAATGCCAGCATTTCCACTACTGATGACTGAGGCAAACTGTCCTGTGCATAACTAACTGGCTCTGAGCATCTGCATTCATTTAAAAATATCTATACGAAAGTTGAAGGCAAGGGTTATATTGAGCCAACCTCGGATTTCCCATAAGAGCATGACTGTCCTTAACTTTCAGGATTGCACGTAGCTGTGAAGTCTGACATATGTGAATCTGATCACTGGCTCTTCCACTTAATTGGACTGAGACACTGGAGAAGTTACTTACCTTTCCTCATTGATGAAATGAGGAGGCCGGCAGCTCAGAAGTATCCCACATAAACCGCTAGCATCATGTCTGGTTTTAAATGGGCTCTTACCTCATCCCCATTACCCTCCTACACTTGAATTTCAACATTCTCACCTCGCCAAAAGTTCACTTCTCTTCCAAAGGCAAAGGTCTCAATTAACATTCATTTCCAGTATAATTTACTCAATGCTAATGACAGAACAACTGGAATTATAAATTACAAAAGGCCCAGGCACTATGTGATGCTGACATCAATAATCATAATTAAGTAAGAAGTGAGAGTTTCTCCATTTCAATTAGGACTCAGTCATTAAAATAAAAACAATTCAGAAAATCGCAATTTAAAGTGGTGATTGCAGCTTATCTTATGGCTAAGAAGCTTGGAGAAGTTTGTAGAAAGAGAGTTTATAGAAAGAGAGTTTTTATGCATGACTTCATTAACTTAGTACATGTCTTGTGCCTACTCTATTCCAGGAACTGGAGTGGATACAAAGATAAAAGAGGCCACAGTCCCTGCCTCATTTTCTCATTTCTCATTTTCTCATTTAATCTTAACAACAAACATCTGAGACAGATATTATCATCATGCCCCTCACAAATGAGGAGCACCCTGAGAAATTAAATTAAATATTTCTATTTTAAATTAAATAGAGGTTCATCCAAGAGGCCTCAGGTCAAGGGGAGGTGGGTTAGAGCCAGGCTGGCAGAGGTACCACCTTGCTTCAGCTAGACAGCTCTGCTTTCATCCATTTAATACATCGAGGCTCTGGATAAAATATTTAATTTAATTTCTATCTCCAAGACCCTATTCTTGGACATCAGCACATCCCGGACTTATCCCATAAGACTTGGGAACTTTTGCTTATTATACCACTCAGTACTGGGTCCCTGGGCGGGAGTAAGAAATGGTAGTGGTAGGGAAACAATGAATGGCTGGTACATCAGGGAAGGCTTCATGAAAGACGCAGAGTCCAGAGAGCACCTTCAAAAAAATGTAGGGGAATAAAGAGTTCCGGGTAACAGCTCGAGCAAAGCTGAAGCATGTTCCAAGAAGAGGATATTCTATTTACCTAGAGCATGGCCAGGAATTCTATCCTCTAAGCTGTGTTATAAGGTGAACCTTACCCTCTCCCTTGCCATAATTTTATTAGAGTTTGAAAATATCTTTCATGACAAGATAAAAAGAAACGTTAAGGTCAATGTCAATATGTCTTCTACTTTGAAAGTTGACTACATAATAATTTAGTGTTCTTTTCCTGGACAGAAAGAAGGACATTCTAGAAATTGGCACAATTTTGTTTCTTTTTCTCTCTAATTACAATATAAATGCGGCGACACGACTCATTCCAAAGAAAGTGAGTGAGATTTTTACCATGATTCCCTTTTCAGAATGTCACAGGTCCTAAAATACATCTGCTCAAAGAAGAACAAATTTAACCACACAGAAAAGAAAGACAAATATTTAGCAAACTTTGTGTTTAATGAACAAATCATGGAGCACATTTTATGCACAAGATGCTTTGCTAGGCACTACGTATCAAGGATTAACCAAATGCCATACCCATTCTACAAGGAAGTCGTGTTCTAGAAGCAGCGTGATGTGTGGTCCAAATGCTTAGAGAAGAGAATATCTAGCTCTTCTGTGACTGTGACAGGAAGCAAAGTCAAAGAGGACTTTTCAAATGAGATGACATTTGACCTTGAAGCTAGGATTTTACCTGGCAGTGAAGGGGAAAGGTACAGTCTGGCTTTATGAAGATATCTAGTGAACATGAGCAGAGTCTGAGGAACATTTAATGACAAGTAGACTGGGGTGATGGCAGCATAGGGGTGCGTAGTGGGGATGTTGTGGGAGATGAGGCTAAAACTGACATGGGGCCACACTGTGTGATGCTAGAAATGAAGAAGGGGATGCTAGGAAAAGAAGGGCAGGGTCTCCACCGTTTACCCCATGTCCACAATGTGCAGGTACAGGGCTAAATGCTCTGCGTGCACTGTTATCTCGTTCAGTGCTTATACTACGCCATGATGGCAGACAGATGACTCCATTTTATAGAGAACACTTCACATTTAGTGATTTGCCCAAGGATGCACAGCCAGTGCCAGGACCATCTTATTCCAGAGCTTATGTTCTTAGTCACATTTCTGGGCAGTATTTCAGAAAGATCTCTCTGGTGTCCACGAGGATCACAGTGAGGAAGAGAGCTGGGACAAGGAGATCATACAAGGGTGACAGAAGTTCCCCAGATGGGACTCTGTGAGAGGTTCTGCATTGATGCAGTGACTCGGACTGGGGAGGGGCATGGTTCCAGGGAGAATTCAAGGGTAATGGAGGCAAAACTCATTTTGGTGACACTTGAATGATGGCGAAGGAGGAAGGAAGCGAAATGGTTTCCTTAGAGGCAGAATTCCCAAGGAGAAACAAGAGTGGGAAAGACAATGAATTCAGTATGAATTCTGTTAGTCTGAGATGCCTGCAGGATACTCATGCAAAGTGATCTAAAAATAGAGATGAGTATGTAATTTAGGAATGAGAGCAAGGCAAAAATACTATATATGAGAGGTCTCAAAGCACAAAGAAAAGATCCTATATGAGGTAACCATGGTGAATAACAGCATTTAAGGTTTGGGGGAGAGGAAGGAAAAAAACTTCAAAAGAAACTGAGAGAAAACAACCGTTAACCAGTGGAGATCCACTAGGATGTGCCCCAGGAGTCAAGGCTGGCAGTTCAACGAGGTGGGAGGGGTCACTAGTGTCAAATGCCACCAAAAGCCCATTAGGATGAGAACAGTAACTGAATTTGACCTTTAGAGAGCTATTTCCATAGCAGCAAAATCGAACACCAGACTGCTGAGGCTTCAGGAAGGAAGAGCTGAAATGGTGCTTGGAGCTAGTGTACATGACCTTCTAAAGAACTTAGCTAAGGAGAAAAAAGAGACAGCTTTTCTTAAAAGTGCAGAAAGGTCAAGGAAGAATTTTTACTTTGTTTTATTGTTTTTTAAAACTTGTGTGAGATTTTTCAGAATCTCTGGAATATGATTAACATTAAAGAGAAGGAGTGTCCGAAAGGAATTGAAGATGGAAGGTGGGAGCAGGGGTAATGGTGATATTTGTGTATTTGTGAAGTTCCCACAGGCAGCAGGTGATTCCATTAATAAATGTTCGAGTATTGAAGGGTATTTAGTGATTGGCTGGCTATGAAGGGGTGTCCAAGAAGAGGAAGCCACATGCATGAAAATGCACAGAGAAATAACCAACTCAAGGAACCACAAACATCGAGCACGGCAAAAACACGAAGGAAACAGGAGACAAGAGTCAAGAGGCCGGGAGTGACCAGATCATAAAGGGCCTTGGAAACGCCGCCCAGGAGCTTAGATCTGGCTCCTAAGGCAATGGAGAGCCATGGAAATATTTTAAGCATGGAAGTGATATTATCGGATATGCTTTGAAGGGAGATCACTCAGGCTACAGGAAGAAGGACAACAGGAGACAGGGTGAGGGTCTGAGTCAAGCCAAGGAAGGCAGAGATGAATGGGAAGGGACAAGTCAGAGAATTATGTTGGAGGCAGACTCAGCCTGACAGCTGGGGCACCTGTTGGACTTGGAAAGAAATAAGGAGACTTCTCTGAGCTAAGAGGGAGATGAGGATGAAGGGGAAAAAGTCCTACCTGCTTGTAGTAATCCACATAGGTGATCTCAGTGCCATCCCGCTTCTGAAAGGTATGCGTGGGCTTCACTGACCAGTCAATGTCATCGATACGATAGGTTTTGTTACTATACCTGGTAAATGCAAGAAATCTTTATTTTTTTTTTCCAAATCATACAAGATAAACAACGATTTCACTATACTTTTAAAAAATTCGACTCCAGAATTTCAGAAACTATGAAAGACAGTAACACAAGAATAGTCACATTTTAAAAATATGGTCAGCTATTATCTCAGAAGAATAATAATTAACTCTTGAAAATACAGAAAGTCCTCCGTATTCCCAGAAAAGTGGAAAGCCATTAGACCATAAACTGTTTTTCTCACTGATAAACACTCTGACTTCAGGTAAATCATTCTTAAATGAAGGAAGGCCAAACATTGTTCAAAACTTTCCCATCAGGATTTTTTTGGTATCAGATAGCTTTTCTGATAAAAAGCACAAAAAGGCAACTGATCAACCATGCAACTCCAGTATGCCGCTCAGTCTCCCATCTAGGGCTGGTCCTCGGCAAAATTGCAAAGCTGTGTGGCCTGGAATATCTCCTCATGCTGCCCCAGCCTTGGGACAGAAACCTCCAGGGTTCTTGGTACCTTGCAAGGTGATTTGAAAAACAGTGTGATAAACTAATCATGAAGATCATGACAGGAGAATAAGAAGGTGGCCTTCTCATCCCAGGTAGTGTAGAGTTCAACCAGTCCCACCTCTCTGCTCTATAAGCCAGGAAAACAAGGTTCAGTGGAAATTTTGAGCCACTGCAAGAAGGCCAGAAGGTCCTCTAAAAGAAGTATTATGGACTAGCAGCCATATATGGTAAGCTTCTCAGTACTCAGGAAGCTACCTCATCTGTGTTTAATTCAGCTCAATGTGCATCGAAGGCAAATTACATATGGACAAACCTAGAGTCCTTAGAGACCTCACAATCTTATGAAGACGATGAGACATGGGACTAATGTTCTAACCTGCAACCTCATAAAATTAAATAAAATGGTTATAAAGAGGTGGCTAAAAGCAACATGCTATGGGACCAGCACAAGGGAGGGAATTGAATAATTCCAACTGAGTGGACAGGTGGAGGCTTCAGAAAAGCAGTAACATTTGAGCTGGGCTTTTGTGCGAGTAGAAATTTAGAAGGCAGAACAAGGGATGGAGAATCTAGGCAGAGACACTGAAGGAGCAAAGTGCACCCCACTGCGGGGCTAAGGGGAGGAGTACAGCAAGAGGTAGTGCAAGACCGTGTCAGACTGTGGACGTTCCAAACAGCACTCACTCGAGAAAGTCTAAACTCTAGACAACTGAGACGGGCCAGGTCTTCTTAACAGGGGAGTGAACTGATCAGATCTGTGCTCAGGCCAGCATCCTGATGCTCTTCCTGTTCCCAAAAATCATAAATAATTCATTCTCCAAGGAGAAGTATCCTTAAACGCAGGCTTTTACCTTGTAAGGACAATGAGCCCAATCAGCTGGTTTTCACACATCTGGGGAAAGCCAGACATGCCGGTTTGGTGGCAGAGACCAGTCATGAATTCCAGAACAGTCTCATTCCGGAGGAGTTTATAACTCACATCAGCACTAAACAGGAGCCGACTTTCAAACTGCGATACAGAAATGGAGAACCCGGGCCAAAGGGACAAGCTTAAAAAAACAAATAAAATTTTAAAAATACATTATATCAGAAAAACAAACATTTTTAAATGATGGCTTTACATTCCAATTCTCTAGATTTTTATGAAATAGTTTTTTCTTCAGTCTGATTTCTTCCTGTTGCTAACCACAAACTTCAGATATTTCCAGCTGGCATGTCTTTAAACATACATTTAAGATTAAATATATCCCTGTGGAGGATTTCTCAGTCTTGGCAGTACTGACATTTTGGACTGGATAATTCTGTGTTAGGGGCTGTTCTGTGCATTGTAGGATGTTTATGTATCCTGGCCTCTATCCACCGGATGCCAGTAGCAGCCCCCCAGCTGTGACAACCCACATTGTCTACAGACATTGCCAAATGTCCCCTGGGGGCAAACTTGCCCCTGGTTGAGAACTACATCTTTAGAATTTATATGTTTATGGAGTGATCTGTCCCAGCATCAAAATAGTTAGGTTCAGAAAAGCACACTGATTCAGTGGTAAAGACAGCAGAAAGACTTGATATTGAGATTAAGAAATAATGGAAGTGGTATCACATATACGTACAAGAGAAGCTGTAGCAGATACTATAGCTCCTTTCCACATTTATGAATATCATAGACTGAAGTCTTAAATTTTTAAAAATGATGGAAATGGCATGAAAGAATAGACAAATATTTTTAAAAAATCATTTCAGTTTATATTTTGTGGACTTCATTCACTGTGATACTAAGCCAGCCTTCAGGCCAAGTATACGTACTGAGCACCTACTCCAGCCCAGCACACACACTGGACCTAAGAGAACTTCTAATTCAGGTGAAGAGATAAATGACAGGGTGGAACAGCATGCTTTATATAGACCACTCTGACACACTGAATCATCATACAGAAACCCTGCCATTTTTCTTCCACCTGGTAGAAGCCCAAATACCCTGCCCCCATTTTTTACCTTTTATGCATTTCTCTCTTTGTTTACATATCTGTCTTTGGGTTACTAGCTGACCCTGTCTTTAGCGTGACCACACATTTTGGAGAGCTGAGTGACAACCAGTTTAAGACATAGCTGAGCACTTTCCCTGCAGCCACTACTTCTCAGTTTAGGGTGAAAATTCTCAAGTGTTCTTAACAGATCTATCTTTCACTAGGATGGTTTTTTGGTTGGCTTGTTTGTCTGACCTCTGCTTATCTAATAATTTCACATCAACCACCCTGGCTGTGCTAACTTCCGCTCAGCAAGAAAACAGAGCACCAGCTATGTAGTATAACATAATATAGCTTATTCTGCTTTCATTATTACTTGTCATACACAGGAAACTCAGTTTCTGAATTCTTTCTAGGATTTATCATAATGATCTAGCACACTAATATAAGAAATCTGGCTGCTAGTTTCATGCTGACATTCACCATTCTATAAAAAATTTGAAAATTAAAAAAATCTATTACTTTTCATATCACAGTCTCTCTCATTGGAGGCATAATGGTATAATATTGCATCATAAATTATGGTGCTCATATATGATAACAATTTCAGAGTAACAGAAAATATAAATAAACCTACTTGTGCTGGGGAATTTCCACTGGCTCAGAAGGCTTATAGAAGTTCCGTCCAATCTGGTACATGGACAACTTTTTTAAGATCCTGCAAGTATACATTTTTATTACTTTTCGGTAAACATCAGTGAATACCAGTGTAATTCTAAGTTTGTACCCATGCTGAACATAATGATAAAAAAAATGTATAAAGTATAGAACTCTCATTCTCATAGCACTGGAAAGTTCAGATACTTATCAGTATGAGTGTATATTTAAGAATGGTCACTTCTTCGTATTTGAGAATGACACAACTGAAATTATTTTTATTTGTCTGGGTTTAGCTACAATGATAAATATGTGGTCACTTAGCAATTATGACCGTGGTTTAAACATTCTGGTTAGCATGGCTGGGGTAAGCAAGCCATGTCTGAAGACTCTTCTGTCCTCTTCCTTATTTTGAGATGAGGTTGTTTCTAAGGAGGCTACTCAAACTCCCCAGGTGCCACCAAATAACATGGCTGCCTCTTTGGCAACTAATCTTGGTCACCTTTGGAATCTGACACATCACTGATCTGAGGCTGCCCAGCTCAGGAAACCTGAATGTGTCAGTCAGAAAACAGGGGTTCCAACTGCATGATTCTGGCTGCTAAATGTCACTGAGCCTCAGCCTCCTCACCTATAAAATGGAGATTTTAACAGTACCCACCTTAGGGCACTCGAGTGTAGATCAAGTAAGATCAAATACAAATGAAAAAACTTTGTAACTGAAAAGCGCCTTCGAAATATCAGCTGATCTAAAATAGTCCCCTCTCAGGAGGGCACATTCAAGACTGGCTTCTGAAGAGCATTATGCAGCACGGAACTGGGGCCCAGGGAAGGTCTAAAGATACCTGGCAAGAAGTCTGACTCAAATGAGAAAATAACGTATCTGAGTGGGAGAACTTCTTTTCCATGCCCTACTCAGCAAAACCCCAAATTCCTCTGTCTTCATCCTGTCCAGAGGCCACTATTGAGCAAAGGGCTCAAATCTTAGGTGTTTTAACAGATAACCTGATTGATTCACACCAGTGCCATGGAAAACAGTGGTTCAGAAGTTTTTGCGCATCTACATGTCACCTGGAAAGCTTGCTAAAAACATGGATTTTCAGGTCCCACTCATGAAATTCTGTTTACTGGGTCCATGGAAGGGCTAGAGAATCTGCATTTTATCGAGTTCCCCACAGCCCCTGTGATGACTTTGAAGTAAATGATCCTGCATCGGTGTGAAGAACATTAAAAAGCTTAGTCACCACCTTCTTTCTGTCCCCCGAGTGAGAGAAGATGGTGATGGCCTTTTACATCTAAAATAAATCAGCCAGGGGAAATACAAATACTTCGGTTTACTAATCCAGTCATACCTAACTTTTAAGTCTGGGGGCGGAGGGTGGGAGGTGGTACAGGGTACAGAAAAAGGAGAGAAGGAAATAGGCACACTCCCTGCTACCACTGAGACATCAGAACACTGAGTTCTTTGTCTCCACTCAGATAATACTAGACAATAACAATTAATGCCACTCAGCAGCTGTGATGCACTGTGGTGCACAGCACTGCATAAGTACACAAAAGTACATGGAAATTGCCCTAAAGAAGACATTGTTGCTGGCACAGTGCCTACAAAATGGTAGATCTTCTTAATACCCAGTCTCTATGCTAACAGGCAAATTAGCCTAAATTAAATTCACGTGTAAGGCACCTTACTTTCTGAAGATGATACTGAAGACCTGGATGCACACGGGGGAACTTGCTGGCAGCTCCCTCGTCAGAGTAATAGTCATCTTTACAGTCTCGCCTCTTTGAGTTTCACTTGACAATTCTGTGACCTGAGAAAAGAAATCATTAATATGCACTCTACAAATTACCCCTGAGCGTGCGGAATGTAGATATGAAAAGCCATCGCAATTTAATACTAATTAACAAAAACAAAACTGCAGGCGTTAGTGTGTAATAATGTAATCAATACATTATGTTTGGAGGGGTTCTTTTCTCTGTAGCTTGCTAATCCTTGAAAAACAACACATCTCTCTACTCTGTAATTTCTTAATAGAGAATCAAAACCAGGCTCAGGGTTTAAAAATTCTCTCCAAAGAGAAGTCCATAGCCATGCTTCTCGACTATGGGAGGCGGCGTGGAGAGGGAGGTACAGGAGACAGGCCACAAATTGAGAGTCTGATAAAAGTGCAGACATTTTCCCAAGAAAATGTCACGTATGTATAAACCACAACGATGTACCTAATGCACCCATTTTAAGGGGGTTCATGGATTAGTGGCCTGTCCTGCCCATCCTTGGTTCATGGCTTTCAAAGTACAGCCTCTCAAAAGTTTATTTATAAAAGAGAAGAAAGAAAACAAAGGGGGAGAGGACAGATGAGAGAGGAAGCAAACGTGGGGAGAGAGAAGAGGAAGTGGTAGAAATTTAAAAAGACAGGAAATCTGATTTTATTAAGTTTTGAAAAGTTTAGAGAAACCCCTAGGGTTTTTATTATCTGGAACAATGTGCTAACGATATAATGAACGCATGAATATACCAGGCACCCGACTAAATTTAAAGTTCCTTCGACCAGACAGGGCTCAGTACAGGTTTTTAGAATAAAAGAATGAACAAATCAGTCAATAAAAATCAATGATCAAGGATTTTTCAGAAGAGTAAGGAATTAGAAGAGGTCAGTTCATTAGCAAGCATTTATGTATTTTACCATGTTTTCTATAGTTAAAGTGTAGTTTTAACTACTTTTAGATAAACCTAGAATGTAGGGTAGGAACAGTTCATTGCATGGAAATAAAGAGAAATGGGTCCTTTCCCAGGAGATGAAATAGGTCATTGAGGCAATTTCTTGCTTCAGATAAAACTGTAGAGGAACCCAAGGTGGAAAACTGCAGGAAGAGTTCATCAATATCGAGAAGTCTAGCAGGCAGGTGAGATGAGGGACTCTCAAACTGCTACAGGGATTACAGGAAAAAGGATTAAGACAACAAAGGAAGTTGGAGTGAGTGGTTGTGGGGAACAGATGGTCCCCGCTAAGACCTCTATCCAGGAACAACATGCGTAACAGCCATCTGAGAGCAAAGTCATCAGCACGCCCTCCATCTCCCCCACCAAACACCAACGCCTCATGCTTCCTACGCTGGACCCCATACCCTCCAGTCCCTGGGCTGCTAGCCTCAGAGTGACTTTTCGCTTCTGCTCCTTCTCCATCCACTGTCTAATTAGTTGGCCAGTCTTAGCACTTCTACACCAGCCATATCTCAAATCTATTTAAGCTGTTCCAGAACCATTATTTACCAAAGAGCTTAAGAGCGCTAGACTTGGAGTTGGACAGACCCCGGTCCTCTCCTTTTGCAGGCTGTATGATATGGAGCAAGTTACTTTAGCTTTTTAAGGCCTTTCCCCATCTCTAAAGCGGGAGTGAGTCCAAGGCTGTGAAGATTAAATGAGATAATTCATGGATCTTATCCTTATCCATAGCAGTGCTTTGTACCTTTGTTTAAGCCCTTTTGACGTCCTGTCCAGATAATTCCAGCAACATTTTTTTAATAATCTTCTCATTTTCTCCTGTCATCCATTCAATAGAACATGATTGGCGTAATTGTAATTTAACACAGCTCCCATGGAAACTCTCTCAAAGGTTCCAGTGGACCCCAGAAGACAGTCTCTACTCTTTGGCAGGGCATGTAAAGTTCTCCCTTTTGAAGCCACAACTTCTATTCCTTCCTGGCTAAATCTGAATGATCGAAAGTTTCTAAAATATGCCCTCACTTCCTATCACTGTGCCTTCGCTCCCTCTGGTCCTTTTGTCTAGGAATCCCCCAACCCCCACCTAACGATCCCTTCATTGATCTAAATTCTGCCCCAAAAAAGGAATTCAATATCACCCCACTGAAGCTCCTGCTGGAAATAATCTTTCCATTCATCAAGCTTTGTATAAAGACTTTATGCAAGACAGTTAACCTTTCAAAGGCTCCAGGGGTAATGAAAGGATTAAATGAGACCATGCATATAAAGAGCCTGGCAGAGTAAGCATTCAACAAATGTTACCTGGGAGCTGTAATAGTAGCAGTGGTGGTAGGCGGGAGACAAAATTTAGATCTGTTCAAGAGAGATGTGCAAGGCTAATCCAGAGAAGAACCAAGCGCAGCACCTTACACTTGGTAAGTGCTCAGTAAATGTTAGCGTGATAACACTACTAATCATTATTATAGCCCTTATTTCATCTACTTTGCACTGCATTTATTTGTAAATAACTTCAGTACTAAATTGAAAAATTTTTGACAAGAGTCTTTTCTTATTGATCCTTGTTTCCACCATGGTGACAGTACCCTGCCAGATACATAGTAGGCTCTTTCTAAGTGTAGAATGAATGTGTGAGATGTGACCAGTGACAGCTACCCAGGATGTGGCGCAGATGCACAGATGGGGTCCGGAAGCCTGTGGAAGGCCAGGAGGCAGCAGAACAGGACTTCTAGAACTGCACTAGATGGCAGCTCAATGAATGAATTATTGGAGGAGCTCTCAACTAAAAAAGCATCCTATGAAATGTGTAAGAATGGATGGGAGTGCGGGATTAAGCCTGAGTCAAAATGAAAGTCAGAATAAAGAGGTGAGAATAGCTGTATCTTCATTGGGACATTATTTCTTTTAACTATTTCTTTTTCATGTCACTGGGTGGCAGGTCATTTGTTGATAAGGATTCACACTCTGTCTAAACCTAGTATCACCTGTGTCTAAGAAATAAAATCAACAGGCCTGATTTGTCACACCATGTTTTTACTGTCTATTTACTCACCTGCCTCCTCATTCGATTTCATCCCCAATAATAAGATGTGTGGCACATATTACATACTCATTTTGAAGGAGAAGTAAATAATATTAACTTATTCCTAGCATCCAAATATTAATAAATTTTCCACTTTGGTAAGGTACGTTTTAAGAAGGCTGGACTGTTCAACTTACTATAGATGTATCTACAAGCAAGATGATCTTAAATAATTATAATATACTTGAAATATATCATTTAAGTGTAAGAGGCCCTATTCGCATGCTATCAACATCTGGTTATATGACAAAATACTGAGAAATCAATGACATGATGAATAAGAATGTTTCTAAACTTACAGGTCCAGATTTTCTAAGCCCTTAAATTTAACGATGGCATAATTTTCAAGTTCTATATCCAGATGAAATAAACACTCAAGTAACTCTTATAAACCTCGGGATCTCATGACAGGATATAAGCCCCCCGAGAGCTCAGAAATACATTTCACAAAATTCACAAAGATTTACACGAAGTCTTAGAAATTCACATTTATGCCATTCATACTCTTTTGATCGAAATATTGAACTAAAGGATCAAGCTTTCCAAGGGATAGAAGAATAAAGTTGTAATCCAATGCTCCGTTTTAGTTTTTCATACAGAAACTAGTTCTTTTTCCCTTGTAGTAATTTTAATATTACTTTAGAACAAAGCATATGATAAAAACTTTAATGCCAATATCTGTTTTAGGACAAAAAATGTCGACGGTGTGAAAAAATGAATAAAAGAATATGAATCATGCAATTACCATATCCAATGTTCTCACAATTAAAGATATATCTTTACGATTGATATCAATAACATATTTCAGATGATGGGACAAGTCATGAATGAAATGACAGTTTTAGAATCAGAGATTGATGTAAAGTTATTAGGACACATGGACATAATTATGCAGGAGCAAAAAGTCGAGTAAATGTAAAGCTCTGAAGCCAAAGGCTAAAAGGTGTTTCTTAAAGTCTTGCCTATTTCAGGAACAGTTTGAAAAGGATGCCTATTTCAAGGACACTTTGCCTTAAAAAAAAAAAAAAAAAAAGGTAGTTAAAAAAACAGTGTTTGTGTTACAGCTCATATTTTTAAAATGCCAGAACTTCAGCTTCTTAATTAAGAAATAAATTACTGATGAGGTCTTAATTAGGAAGTCCCGGGACGGGAAAGGGGAAAGGAGTGAGTGAAACACCTATTCCAACTGACATGAAAATCAGCTAACCTCTCAAATATATATGGATGGGTTTAAATATATGCACATGTGTGTTAAAAAATTAATCATACTATACCTTTTCTTCTAGCTTGTGTGAGAGAAAAAGGATGACACCATCGAATGCTTTGGCTTTGTTGGAAAGTTCCCTATGACTATAAAGCAAAGCAATTCTCATCCTTCTAGATTCTAAGTCTGGCATATATGTCACATGATATTGGTATAGCTGCCAGTTCTGGGGCAAATCTAAACTAAAGAGATTTGTGATCAGTTTCACAGGTATTCCACTGGAACCTGAGAAAACAAATAAAAAAAACATTTTTTAACAAAAAAAATCATACCGTGTTAATATTAATCACATTTTAAACATTTGCACAGTTGTTGCTATAAAGACAGGATTCTTCTTCAATGACACAACTCAAGCTCTAATAACCTATAGCCTAATGACCTTATGGTGTCCTATAAACATGTGTTTGGGAATGAAGAAAGGACTGTGTGTAAAGCCCTCATAAGACCCTGGAAAAAGAGAAGCATCTGAATTCAACTACTGTAGGACTCCTTCCAAAGCTTTCCCTCCGGCTCTGAATCTATGCAACTCAGATCAGCTCAAGTAAAATTTCAGATGCTGCTCTGAAATGATGATGTGCTAAGATTATAAAGAAGCTGTCCAGTGCTTACCATGAATACAACCCCCAACCTCTTAGAAATCTAGAGTTAACCATACTTTTGAAAATTCTGAAGTAGTTCAATCAGTGGTTAAGCTACTCTGCAAATTCCACAGAAGCCCCTCAGAGACTGAGAGGAAAACTGGGGGGAGAGGAAGGAATTCCACAGCTTTCCTACGTGAAAACGGGGCCTCTGGGCTTCTATCTTCTGCAGGCTCAGGGAGGCTCTGTGTGCCTCCTGGAATTCCATCACCCACAAAAGTTTTTATTCGTCTCTTCAAAATCTACAGGATAAATTCAGAAATAGTCACAATATAATTGGTCAGTGCTCAAAATGGAGTGAGTTCCCTCCAGGACAGAAGCCAAGAAGGGCACAGATGAGATACTTCTCACCTCTCCTTGCAGAGGATCATCCAGTGTTTGTCTTGCAGAAAAGAATTATATCAAATAGACACTGTTTTGCTTTTCTTATGGAGGATGTGAAAACATGAGCCCCGGAGGTGGTGAGAAAGAAAAAGTATCGTGTGTGCTTTAGTATGTCCTCAGCTTCTACCTATGGTATAAATTTGTTCGGAGCAAGAAATTATTGTGCTATTTTAATTAAACGAAAGCTTTCTTTTGTTCTTCCAGATCCTGAGGAGATGACAACATATTTTAGCGGCTCACATTAATGGACAAAGAGAAGTCATCCTAGAATGTCGGAGCTGGCAAAATCTTTCCAGATCATCTACACCAGAATTTGCAAACTAATCATGACCCATTACTGCTGTAGTTACAAAAGTATATGAGGTTAACTATCGTGTTTCATGAAAAGACTAGAAAACAACAGAATTGGATCAGAATGCCTTGCACATAGTTAGGGCAAGCGCTGTTTCATGAAACCTTGTTTATTGCGTGTGTGAAGTTTGTATGCTGGATAACAATAACAAAATCTTTTTTTGCTTCATGGTTTTAAAAGTTTGAAAAAGACTGATCTGAATCAGGGAGTTTTAACTTTTAGAAGGAAGTCACAAAGCCTTTTGAGGATCAATAAAAACAACAGACTTACTTCCCTGAAAACGCATATGCCCACAATTCTGGATGCAATTTCAGGGTGAGCCTAAAGTCTGGGTTAAGAATTACAGAAACAGGCCGCAACTTTCTTTCTACAGCTAAAGTCCAGAAATGTTATTATTCTCATATAGGAAAAGGGTTGGGAAAGAGACAAAATATCTTTTTTAACCCCTGCCCCAGTTGTAAGGAGAAAAATCTTTTCAACAAGTGAAATGTAGGAGCATTTGAGATCTTGCTTCCCAGCGTGCTGTCAGCTTGGCTAAAATAAACTCTCATTAATAAATAAATAAATAAATAAATAAATAAATAAATAAATAAATAAATAGATAGATAAATAATGTAGTTTTGAATAAACTTAATGAAAGATAAATAAATAAATAGATAGATAAATAAAATGTAGTTTTGGGGGAATGTTATTACTCCTATTAATAAGAGAATTAAGGCTAAAACGACTAGTGTCTAGATAATATCTTTAATATAGCACATGTTAAATAAATACCTATTAAGTCAACATATGAACTCATTTATTTTAGATCTAGAAATTAAAATTCCTCAAGCAAGATTTGGTAACATTAAACAAGTAAGTAACATGAAGACCAGGTACCTGTTTTGCAGTCTCTCACATGGGCCAACTTCTCTCTGGTACACACACCCAAATCCATGAAGTCCCGTCTGATTTTCCCACCTCTTTCCATGAAGGTACATCCAGCATCACCAGAAGATATGCCACCTTTATCTAAAATATGAAAAGAATGCTGTAATATCTCATCTTATTCTAGTGATATTGTTTACAAATACTAGATAAAAAAATGCATCTACAACCAAAACTCAGAATTTTGTAGCCTTCAATAAAACTGGCCTACATTGCTGAAAACAATCATGATTATACAGAAGTCTTCAGCCTAAAAATAAATAATTGTGAAGGAAGCATGGCATGTTTTGTTAGAAATAACTGATCCTGAGTTAGTCCTACTTCATAATATTTTATCCTTGTCTGATTCTGCTCTTGGCTAAGGTGAAAGTTCGATCTCTCTCTGTCCCACTCTATATCCACTTATGGAGGGTAGCTCTCCCTCCTTCTGCTCTGTGTAACACCCAGAAGAGTTACAGACTATTGGGGAAGGTGAGACATTCAGCCCCAATCTGTGCAGAAGTCCACACCAATAACAAGAAGAGAAATGCCCAGAACACTGCCATAAATTTTTATGCTAGATCGTTCCCTTGAGAATGAAAGCCAGTATTTTACCTTTGGGCATATTACTTGGTTAGGTTCTGGAAAATGTGAAATTGAGATCCAAATGAATATTATCTTTTTAAATGAGTACAAAGAAATTTTGAGTTTTTGGATACAACTTTGGCTCTCTGAAGATAACATGAAAATATAAAAATACAGAATATTACTACGAAGTAATATGACTCATAGTATGACAAATCTCTAGAACGCTGACTTGACCATTGTCCTTTGATAGAGTCACTGGATGCAATTAACTCGAATGTCTCCATCACTTGCTCAAAACTGCTGTTCATACCTTTCTCAGTGGAATCTGGGTTTTCCAAGAAAATCGCAAAATTTATTTAATTTTAAAAATTATCTTCACTAGATTATTCATATCATTCACTGTTCTTGGTTTCAAAAGACGTTGGGTAGTTTCTAAAACTTCAATCTACCACAGAACGGTAGTTGCCAGAAGCCAGGGGGAGGGGAAAATGGGAAGTGATTGTTTAATGAGTTCAGAGTTTCAGTTTTGCAAGATTAAAAAGCCCTAAAGATGGATGGTGGTAATGGTTGCACAACTAAAAATGGTTAAAATGGTAAATTTTACATTATGTATATTTTACCACAATTTTTAAAAATAAATAAGTAGAAATTAAATCTACCCTTAAAGGATGAAGGGTTTCCATCACTTGCTAGTCACAAGAATGTGCAGCAGACATGGAAAGTTGGGATAAGGACTGAATGGTGGCAGCAGTGCTGAACCTGATGCACTGCCTCGCATAATAGCTCTCCTGAGGGACCACATGCACATCTGTGAGTTCAGATTACAAAGGGTGCTTGTGCAGGGCTAGAAAAACTCCAGCAGAAAACGAGAGAGCCAGGTATAAGAGGAGTGGAAGGACTGATGATCCTAAGAGTCCGGAAGAACCTACCCACAGCAGCCCTACCCACAGAGACTGCTCAAAGCTTACGTGGTTATTAGCAATTCATGGGCAGGACAAGGGAGACAGCTAACAGATTTCGGCAGTGGTTATAGGCTAGCTATATTGCGTATCCCCCAAATTCCTATGTTGAAGTCTTAACCCCTGATATCTCAGAATGTAATTGTATTTGGAGATAGGGTCTTTAGAGAGGTAGTTAGGTTAAAATGAAGTCATTAAAATGGGGTCTAATCCAGTACGACTGGTGCCCTTACAAGAAGAGATTAGAGCACAGATGAATACAGGAGAAAGACCATGGTGAAGACACAGGGAGAAGACAGCCATTTACAAGCCAAGTAGAGAAGCCTCTGAAGATATTAGCCCTGAAGACATCTTGATCTTGGCCTTCCAGCCTTCAAAATTATGAAACAGCACATTTCTATAGTTTAAGCCACCTTGCTGTGGTACTTTGTCACAGCAACCCTAGAAAATTAGCACTTTGGGTGTGCCAACTCACACTGTGTGATAGTGGCTACTTAAAGTAGCATGTTGACAGACATCCTGAGGCCAAATCTGGTGACATCTAACACAGGTGGGGAAGGAAGGAGAGAGCAGTAGCAGCAGGCATGCCATGGTTCTTCTATTCCTGCAAGGTGGTGGCACTGACATTTACATGTCATAAAGGATTTTAAAATATTCTTTCAAAAATTTTCAGTGAACACAAAGAATCCAAAAACTGGCTTCCTGATGTCTATGGATTCCCAACTGCCACATGCTGTCAGGAAATGCAGCAGCAGATTCTGTGTTTCGGGTCCTGAAGAAACACAACACACACAGGGAATCCTCCAGGAAAAGGTAAGTGGGATGCTTAAGAAATGCTCCTGCTGCTGTGAGGCTTAATAGAGTCACTTGTGTTCCATTCAGATGGAACAGCATTGAATGGAACAGACTATTGCACTTACATTGCTGTGAAATCCCACTTGTTCCCACGAAGCCACTGTGAGATGATGCTTCATTATCACTGAGATCAGCAGATGTAAGCTAAAATGGGCAAAAAAAAATGTGATCAGATTCAAGAAGTTAATTCATAAACCAAAATGTTATTACAAAATAAGAACCATATTATGTCCTAAGTCATTAGATTGCCATGAGCTAACATTACCAGGTGAAACACTTGAGAGATGGTAAGAGATTGCTCATTCTCGAAAAAAGGAATAAGGACAAGCTATAGTTTTCTGATTTATTAAACTTTGATATTAGTAGCCACTCTGAGCCAGATATAACCATTAGACCCTGGAGGTATAAAGAGGCAGAGATGTGACCCTTGCATCCAGGGAGCTCATCAGAGGGAAGGTGGTACAGAAGAACACCACCTGATGATCCATGGCCCACAGACATGTGACCTCCAGTGTGAGCATGTGCGTGGTAAGAAAATAAACTGAGCCCTGAGGATCTCTGTCACCAGCTCAGATGATGACAGTCTTGAATAACTGGTCTAAAATTAGTTCATAAAAAGATGAAGAGAACCATTAATATTTTCTTTTTTCCCAGTAACTACTTCTCTTTATCCAAGGAGGAATATATCTTGGCCTGCTAAAAAAATGCATGAAGTCAAGAGAAGAGCTTTTTTGTGTGTGAGTAAAAGCATAATGACCACAGACTACTCACTTGAATACTTTTGGTCCAAGAGATTGCTCCAAATACTAAGTGTACATAGTAACATCACTCAAAACTTGCTGATTTGCCGGTCAATTGTGTTTAGTTGCCTAAGTCTAGCAAACAGCCCTACCCACAGAGACTGCTCAAGAAACAGTGGTTCAATCAAAACCACATCTGTGCCTGAGGTTACTTATTTTTATATATGAATTAGCAAAAGGAATGGTATTAGATGATATGCCATATAATGGTACTACTGAAGGTATAGAAATTTTTACCAGGAGACTTAAACCCAAATCAAGTAATTAAAATTCAGAAAGTAGAAAAAGGCGGAGCACTTGCCTCCAATTTTTAGTTCTCTTCACTGGCCAAAGGATCTCTTAATATCTTACTCAGGATAAGAACCCAGAAGGAAGAAATGTGAGAAACCTGGAAAGACTCAAAGTTGAGACAGAAGATAACCCACTGCTTCCTAGGCCAGAGGAAGAGAGAGATGCAGATGAAGGCAGAGGCCATGAAGGATACAGGTAGGAGAAAGCTAGACAATGCCCGCTAAGCGATGTACGCACCTGCGGCGAGGCCTGGGGACGCCCCATTTCTGAGGCTCTGGAGCTCCGGGAGATGCCTCGCGCCCTCACGCGGGCCCGCCCACTCATAGGCCCACTCATGTTCCGGATGAGCCCAGAGTGACTTCCAAGGCAGCAAAGTCTCAGTTAGGGTCTTTTTTCATTGGCATCCAAATGGCACGGCCGTGACGGGAGGTGGTGGGTCACTGACTCCTGGGGAGGAAACGCCCCAAGTCCCATGCGTGGGTGGAGGGACGACGCACAGCCCGTGGGCATCGGACTGTGCGGAGAGGAGCGCAGAGTGGGAGCGGGGGTGCAGCCCGGAATGGGGTGGCGTGGGCGGGATGAGAGGGAGGGGCTGTGGACTGAGGCCCAGACTTCCCTTTTCTTTCCATCACTCCCACTCTCATATTTGGCCTTACCCAACTGTGTAGTTTTTGCCCATCTTATGAGTGGAAGGTTGAATCATACTTCCTTCAGTGTGGGTACACAATTCTTCATCTATGTGATAGATATGGAGTTTTCTATTCTATGAATTGTCTCTTTACACCTGTTGTTGTTTTGAAAATTGGGCTTCTCATGTTTTTCTTTGTGATTTGGGAGAAATTTTATCTTTTTTTTTTTTAACGTTGCAAATATCTACTACCAATCTATCACTTGTTAATTTTGACCTATGAAGTCCTTTATCTAACCAAAATTGTTCATTTTGATGTAGTCAGATATACCAATTTTCAATTTTATGGTTGGTGCTTTTCGAGTCTCTTGGAAAGAAAATTTTCCCTGCCCTAAGTTTACAAGGACAATATATGTATCTTTCAGGATTGTATATAAATATACAGACATACACATGTATGAACATATGTTATGTGAAGAGGAACCTAATTTTATCTCCATACAGTGAGCCATTTTCCCTAACATTGTCTATTAAACAGTGTATACTTTTTGTAATGGTTTGTGGAGCTACCTTCAGCAAATGACAAATTCTCATATATACCTAGATCTGGTGTGTGCTTTCCATTTCTATTCTACTTATCTATATCTGCTCTTCACCAATACTTTGCCACTTATTATTTCTTTATAATATTCATAAAATCTGTCAGAGCAAGTCCTTACCCTTTAATTTTTTTCAATTGTTTATTTACAAACTATTGTTCCATATTAATTTTAAAATGTTTGTCAAGCTTCTTTAAAAATTCTGCTTAATTTTTAATTGGCATTGTATGAAATATATAAATTAACTTGAAAAGAATTATCATCTTTACAATGCTAGATTACTCCATTTATTCAAGTTATTTTTCTGTTTTTTTGCATAGCAGTCAAAATGGTTTACTCACATTTGTTAAAATCAGCTGAAATGATGACATTTATAAAGTATAATGTGGTTCTTTCACAATAGTTCATTGTATCATTAATGTTCCATCCGCTGCTTTCAACTGATCAGGACATGTGGACAACACAGCAGCTAGATGAACTCAAAATTGCCTCAATTGGAAGCGCTTTCCATTTCAATGTGCGCGGCTGGCCCACCCTCATTTCAAAAGCTGGCATAAGTTGTCTCTCTGAGACTTTACAACTTCCTTCCCTCTTTTTCTTCTGACATTGTTTCCCAGATTGGCTCCTTGATGTGTTCTGGTAACGTTCTAATTTTGTCTTTGTAACTTCCATGGCAACTCCTTCAGGTAAGTTTCCTTGATCGTATTCCAAGTAGACATCTGCTGTACTTCCAGTTAGATGTTCTAACTCCAAACATCTATAAAGTGTTCTCATTTCATACTGAACACGGTGCTTCTTGAAAATATGCACTGATTTGAGGAGAGTAAATTGCTCTGATTTCCTTGGAGGTTCACGTACTTTAATAAAGATACCAAGTTCCTTGGCACAATATTTGGAAGTGTTCAAAACAGCCTTGCCATGGCCTTTTTCTGAAACTGACAGTCGCTTACATAATGTGTCTGGGTCATCTGAAATAGCTATCATAGGCTTGGTCAAATTCTTGGGAACATCGGTGTGTAGGTTTGAAAACTGTACGTACTTCATATTGGTACTGAGAAGAAAGCCACTATTTTTGGCTATAGTCCTCTTAGAGCTGTTCACGGAAAAATTCCTCAAACCCTGCCAGAGGAGCCTACGCAAGGCTCAAGGGCTGTTTGTACTGTTGTTTTGTTGTCCTGGCCCTCTTCCTGCCCGTTAATAACATTTAAATTTTTTTTATAAAAGTCTTATTATTTAATTTTGGAAATTTTATAGTTTTTGTTACTACCATGATAACAAGATACCATGTATTTTGTTTTCACTATGTTTCCTTATTAATTATCTGTATAGACACATGATAATGATTTTTGTAAGGTGATATCATTTATTGAGTTTGCTTAACTCAGTTCTTATAGCTGCTTTTGATTAACTGAGTTTGAATATAGTTGATCATATTATCTACAAATAATTACAATTTCATTTCATCCCTTATTTTTATTTCTTTTTCTTATCATGTTGGTCTTTTTCTGTCTACTATTGAAAGTTACTGTGATAGCTGGCATTCTTGTCTTTCCCCTGATATTAAGGGGACCATCTCTGAAATGTCCCCATTTTATTCAATGTTTGCTGTAAATATCTGGTTTTTAGTGTTTATCATTTTAAGGAAGCTCCCTCTATTCCTAGTTTTCAAAGATTATTTTCATTATAAATATGTGTAGAACTTTGTTAAATATTACCATGGATCTATCAAAAAGCTTGTGCTAAAATTATAAAGACACAGTACAGACAGTTCATCAGAGTTATTCAGAGTCCGTCAGGAGGGGCAATAAGTAGATAAATGTGGTAGATGCACAAAGTGGAGTACTAGGCCAACAGTCACAAACGATGCCTTAGAGATACATCCAGCAACATGAATAGATCTTCAACAAATTGTTTTGAATGAAGAAAAAGCAAGAAAGGATTGAGATCTATACTTTGGCAAAATAACACGTTAATTTTTAAAACATTAGGGGTATATGTACTTGGATATGTACTAATTTTTTTCAAATAAACATATATACCCAAGGGTAACCAACAGACATAATAAATTGAGTACCTATATAAAGGAGAAGAACAGGAGTGGGAATGGGGGAAGTGAAAAGGAAAGCAAAATATAATACAGTATAGAACTTGCACAGACCCATGAGAATCATGTACAGTGAAATGAAGAATATGATTCATTTAACTCTCTGTACTTGAGGCCCTAAAATTAAATAAATATAATAGCTAATGTTTAATGAATACCTAAAGAATGCCTGGCTCTGGGGCCAACATTACTGACTTCATTTTATAGATGAGAAAATTGAAGCTTAGAAAACTTAAGTGACTCACCTACAGTGTTACAACTTGTGTGGCAGAGCTGGGATTCCAGCTCAGATCAGTCTACCTATAAAGTCCACACCATATCATGTCCTATTCACTTCCCTTCAAGGTGATCTGCATTACTTTAGATAGAACCCCAGTCCTGTGTAATAGGCTATGCTCTGCCTTCTACTTATTCCCCATCAGAGTACTCTTAGGTTCTCAAGAAATCATTAACCTTGAGGGCTGACAAGTGCAAGAGGTAATGATGGCCTTTGGCAGAGACAGCCAGTGAAACCACTCAAATAAAAAACATAAAAATTTTAAATGAATGAATCCAAAAGTTGGGGATTAGAAAGGAGAGGCAGATAAAAATCTAGACAAGAATTTGCAATCTAGCACCAGAATCTGGATAAGAAAACTACTTTCGAAAATCTGTGCTTCTGAGTAGAAGAATCATCTTTATCTCCATGTTTTCTAAATTTACCACCTCCTGGCAAATTTGACTCATATCGATGAGATAGCACTAGAGTGACAAGAAAGGCTGAGAATATGTATAAGTTACTTGAAACAATCAATTTTTTTTCAATTTTCCAAATACTGTCTCGTTATAAATCAGAAATATCAATTATTTTCAATCATTATCTGCATTTTTCAACTCTCTGTTATGATTACGATATGACACACAAAGCAGTCACCTTGTGCCCTCCACATGTGACTTTTAAAGGCAGAATACTCTCTGTAATAGGTAGGCAGCACAGCATGGTACGAGTATACATATAGGCTTTAGAGTAAGACAGACTGGGTTGAGATGCCAACTCCATCGCTTACTAGCTATCTGACCCAAGAAAATGTACTTAATTTCCTTTTTTAAAATTTTAATTAGTTTTAAATATACAGTATATTGGTTAGACATCTATATAGTTCATGAAATGATCCCCCCAATTGCTCCCTCCTCCTCTGACGCTCCAACCTAGCCAACATCTTAATGCTAACTGCATTCCCTATCCCATGTGCTCCGTCCCCAAGACCATCCTTCAGCTACTAATTTGTACTTCTTTAACCCTTCACCCCATTCTCCCAGCCTCCCAAATCCCCCTCCCCTCTGTCCACCAAATTGTCCACTATATTTGTGAGTCTGTTTTTGATTAGTTTGTTCTTTTTATTCCTTAGATTCTGCATATAAGTGAAATCATATAGGGTTTATCTTTCTCTGTCTGACTTAAAAACCTTCTAGCAATATCTTTTTCCATCCCCTTCCTTTTCATATGTAGAGGTGTTGTTTTCTTATCCTTTCAGCCACTCTATCTTTTGGTTGGAGCACTTAATTCTTTTCCATTTGAGGTATTTGTTGCTAGGAATATAGTTATTACCATGCTTTATTCCTGTTTTTGTTACATGGTTTTTCTTCTTAAAGAAGTCCTTCCAGCATCTCCTGTAATCTGGCTTGGTGGTGATAAATTCTTTTAACTTATTTTCGTCAGGAAGCTCTTTATCTGTCTTTCAACTCTAAATGATAGCTTTACTGGATAAATTATTCTTGGTTGTAGATTCTGGATCTTCATCCTGTCAAACAATTTTCGCCAAGCCCTTCTGTCCTGCATAGTTTCTTTTGAGAAATCAGCTGCCAGTCTTATGGGTGTTCCCTTATAAGTAATTCTTTCTTTTTCTCTTGCTGCTTCTAATATTCTTTCTTTGTATTTAAACTTTGACATTTTAATTATGATGTGTCTTGGTGTGGGCCTCTTTGGATCCCTGATTTTTGGAATTGCCTGTGC